CCATTTATTGTATGTGTCCATATCTTTCCATCCATGCAACCCATCTTGTTTTCACTTCTTCCATTCACCATAAACAGCACATAAAATTACCTGCACATTCAAGATCCCAACCAACACTCTTCTAATATCACTACAAGCATCCATTACACATTTATCCATAAATACATTAACCAATCAGAAGAATATTACACACCCTTGTCTTATTCCCCGCTTAGTGTTGAACCATTTGCTAAGCAGCCCATTTATTCTCACGGATGCTAGACTTCTATTATATCTGCTCTGGTCTCATTCAGCAATCAGCTCCATATTTGTGCAGTACATTCTGTAATTCAAACCTATCTGTTTTATCATGCAATTTCTCTATATCAACAAACATACCATAGAACTTTGTCCCATTCAGAAATTTCTCAATGGCCAGCTGAAGAGCAAAAGTATTATCTGCACACCCCTAGCCCAGCATGAAGTCAAATTGCACTTTCCACTTATTGTTTGTTGTCTGTCAGCTTTGGGAGATAGTCCCAACAAGAAGAACACCCAGAAGTATTAGCTCTGACTTTATTGTAAATTTACATTAAGAGAATCTTGCAAGTCTGAAAGTACATCTCTTCCCCTTTGCCTTTACAGTCCAAGAAACTAAGGAGGGTTCCTTCTGAGATGTTTGCCAGACATACTCACATTCCTTCTGCAGGCTCAGCTGCCATGTGTCTGACTGTTGTCTAGTCTGCAGCTCTTCCACCTCTCTCCAAGGTCATTCCCACATACCATTACCTTATCACTCTGATACCTTTTCTTTTATTTCCATGAAAATCACTCCTCTTTTAAACTCCACTCTTCCATGCTCTCTGAGTACATTATTGGCAGCTATCTTTTCCCTCTATAAATATGTGTGCATCAATGCCACTTTACAAGATCAGGGTACCTTCATTCAGTTCTAGTTCCTTTTGCTTTCTACTAATTTCATAGCTATTCATTGATTTCATTTGTTAATTCATACTCCTTGCCATTTATTTCTCTTATGAGCTAAGTTGCAATCCTCACACCATGGCTTTGGTCAATCAAAGCTTTCACATAATTCTTTTCATTTAGCTAGAGAAGGCCTAGAACAATGCTTTTTGCTCTCAGGATCCCTTCCCACTTAAAAAAATTATAGAGGACCCCCCAAAAGCTTTTGTTTGCATGGATTATATTTATTGATATTTACTGTATTAAAAATTAAAATTGACACATTCATAGAATATTTATTTTTTCAATCATGTAAAAATAACAGTACTAAACTCATTATATATTAACATACATAAAATATTTTTCATTAAAAAAAACCTATATTTTTTAACAACTAAAAATAATAATATGAAGAGAGACTTTGTTTTAAATTTTTGCAAATATCCTTAATATCTGGCAAATAATTTTGAATTTGTACACCCCTGAGATGGTCTCGGGGGAACCCTAGGGGTCCTTGGGCCATACTTTAAGAAATACTGGCATAAAGTCATTCTCATGCCACCAGCAGCATTCCCTGCTAATGGGAGGACAGGACCAGCTATTGTACACTATGTGTTACCAGACCCTATTTACACCAGCATGCTCATGCTATTCTATGCAAGCCAACATACCATTCCCCTACATCCCACCAGTCAGGAGGCATATATAATGTACTAGCAACCTCAAGATGTTAAATGTAAATTTAACTTAAAAGTTAAATCATTTCAATTAATATGACTGCTCCTTGTATTTAGTATTTTCTTGTTCCACATTAATAGTTCAAATTGATGGCACCTTTAACAGAATATCTTGTTGTTGTTCAGTCGTTAAGTCGTGTCCGACTCTTCATGACCCCATAACCATATCATGCC